AAAATCGGGGAAAAACGGGGGAAAACCGGGAAAAAACGGGGTAAAACGGGGAAAAATCGGGGAAAAACGGGGGAAAACGGGGAATAACGGGGGAAAACCGGAAAAAAACCGGGAAAACCGGGGTAAAACGAGGAAAAACGGGGGAAAGCCGGAAAAAAACGGGGAAAACCCAGCTAAAACAGAGCCAAACCAGCATAAACCGGGACAAGAATGGGGAAAAATGGGGAAATTGGGGTAAAATCGACCAAAAGCGGGCCGGGAATGGGGGAAAAATGGGGAAAATTGGGTAAAACAGACCAAAAGCGGGCCGGGAATGGGGGAAAATGGGGAAATTGGGGTAAAAGCCACCAAAAGCGGGCTGGGAATGGGGAAAAATGGGGAAATTGGGGTAAAAGCCACCAAAAGCGGGCCGGGAATGGGGAAATTGGGGAAATTGGGGTAAAACCCACCAAAAGCGGGCCAGGAATGGGGAAATTGGGGTAAAACCCACCAAAAGCGGGCTGGGAATGGGGAAATTGGGGTAAAAGCCACCAAAAGCGGGGTAAACGGGGCTGAAGTTGGGAAGTGAACAGGGAATAATAAAAGGGGTAAAGCGGGGTAAGAGCAGCCGTGGCACCAACGGGGCTGGAGGAGGCAAAAAGCGGCGCCGAGCCCGGCGTGAACAGAGGGAACGGCTGCGGGCCTGAAACCGACCCAAAACAGAGCCAAAATGGCCCAAAAATGGAGCTAAAATGGCCCAAAAATGGAGCTAAAACAGACCCAAAAATGGAGCTAAAACGGCCCAAAAATGGAGCTAAAACAGACCCAAAAATGGAGCTAAAACGGCCCCAAAATGCAGCTAAAATGGCCCCAAAATGGAGCTAAAATGGCCCAAAAATGGAGCTAAAACGGCCCCAAAATGGAGCTAAAACGGCCCAAAAATGGAGCTCAAACGGAGCCAAAATGGCCCCAAAATTGAGCTAAAATGGCCCCAAAATGGAGCCCCAATCCCAGGGCCAAACCTGGCTCCAAATAGCCCCGAAACCGGTCCCAAAACCAGCCCAGAACACCCCAAAACTCACCCTAAACCTCCCCGAAACCAGCTGAAAGCGCCCCAAAACACCCAAACCGCCCCAAAACCAGCTGAAAGCGCCCCAAAACTCACCCTAAACCACCCCAAAACCAGCTGAA